CTGGGCCAAATACCTTCAAACTTTAAATAAATGTTCCTTAGGGTATGTAGTTTATAAATTATATCCGAAGTTTTGATCCATCGACAAACATTGCTGCCATGGCTAAAAATAGAACATGAGGGTCAAATGCAGTTTTTGGCTTATATCTCAAAAACTAAATCTTTTAGAGCAAGTGTGACATGGGGTAAAATTGTTAAATTGGTCAAGATATATCAGCCCTGAAATTATCAGACAATTCGAACAACCCATTGTTGGGTTGCTGCCACCGATTTGGTAGTTTTAACAAAATTTTGCAGTTTTTTGTTATTATTTTGAATATTATTATAGATATTTATAAACTGTAAGCAGCAATAATGTTCAGCAAAGTAAGATCTACCAAAAAGTTAATATGACCATAATTGTCAATTGACCCCTTAAGGAGTTATTGCCCTTTAAAGACAGTTTTTACACAATTTGTTCATCAAGTTTGCTAACATTTAAAAATCTTCTCCTCTGAAACTACTTGGCCAATTACCTTCAAACTTAAAGTAAATGTTCTTTAGGGTATCTTGTTTATAAATTGTATCCGAAGTTTGTATCCATCGACAAACATTGCTGCCATGGCTAAAAATAGAACATGAGGGTCAAATGCAGTTTTTGGCTTATATCTCAAAAACTAAATCTTTTAGAGCAAGTGTGACATGGGGTAAAATTGTTAAATTGGTCAAGATATATCAGCCCTGAAATTATCAGACAATTCGAACAACCCATTGTTGGGTTGCTGCCACCGATTTGGTAGTTTTAACAAAATTTTGCAGTTTTTTGTTATTATTTTCAATATTATTATAGATATATATAAACTGTAAGCAGCAATAATGTTCAGCAAAGTAAGATCTACAAAAAAGTTAATATGACCAAAATTGTCAATTGCCCCCTCAAGGAGTTATTGCCCTTTAAAGACAATTTTACACAATTTGTTCATCAAGTTTGCTAACATTTAAAAATCTTCTCTGAAATACAGGTGAGCGATTCAGGCTCTTGAGAGCCTCTTGTTTATGAAACTTTGGTAAATTGTTTATATCTATTTTTGTAAGCTCCCTTTTGATTTTTATAAATTTTCGATTTTACGTTTCCAAGTTATAAGATTTTATTTGTTTATAGTCTGACAACAAATTTACTAAGTATTGCGCAACAGTACAGTGTATTGCACAATAGCAAGAAATCTTTAATTGAATATAAATTCATTTCATATAACCAATTTCAAGTTCTTTGACTACATTTTAATATTCAGAAACCTATAATATGTCAAATATTTAATTACATTCCAAATTCAGACCTGTATCAAGCTTGAATATTGTGTCCATTTTTGCCCCAACTGTTCAGGGTTGGACCTCTGCGGGCGTATCCAGCTGCGCTCAGCGAAGCAGTTTATTTGTACATAAATTAGGCCGTTAGTTTTCTCATTTGAATTGTTTTTACATTGTCATTTCGGGACCATTTATAGCTGACTGTGCGGTATGGGCTTTGCTCATTGTTGAAGGCCTTACGGTGACCTATAGTTGTTAATTTCTGTTTCATTTGGTCTCTTGTGGAGAGTTGTCTCATTGGCAATCATACCACATCTACTTTTTTATATTTAAGGTTAAGTTTTGGTGGTCAAGTCCATATCTCAGATACTATAAGCAATAGGTCTATTATATTCAGTGTATGGAAAGACTGTAAGAGGTACATGACCAACTGGCAGGTGTCATCTGACCTTGACCTCATTTTCATGGTTCAGTGGTTATAGTAAAGTTTTTGTGTTTTGGTCTGTTTTTCTTATACTGTATGCAATAGGTCTACTATATTTGATGTATGGAATGATTGTAAGGTGTACATGTCTAGCTGGCAGGTGTCATCTGACCTTGACCTCATTTTCATGGTTCAGTAGTCAAAGTTAAATTTTTGAGTTTTGGTCTTTTTTTCTAATACTTAATGCAATAGGTCAACTATATTTGGTGTATGGAAACATTTTATGATTTACATGTCAGTCTTGCAGGTTTTATTTGACCTTGACCTCATTTTCACGGTTCATTGCTCAGTGTTAAGTTTTTGTGTTTTGGTCTGTTTTTCTTAATCTATAAGCAATAGGTCAACTATATGTGTTGTATGGAAGGATTGTAAGCTGTACATGTCTGCCTGGCATGGTTCTTCTGACCTTCACCTCATTTCCATGGTTCATTGGTCAGTGTTTAGTAATCTTGGTTAAGTCTGCTTCTTAGAAACTATAAGCAATAGGTCAACTGTATTTAGTATGTTGAATGGTTGTAAGATGTACATGTATTTCTTGTCGGGTTTATATGACCTTGAATTCATTTTCTTGGATCATGTTGAGTTTATGTGATAGTTGTAGTAAAGCTTTATATTTAGGACTATCAACATGATATCAATGATTAGTAAAGAAGGTGCAACATTTCAGCGTGTGCACTCTTGTTTATACATTATACACCGCATTTACTGTTTTTACCCTGATTTTAGGGATCACTGAACATAGAAATGTCATAATGTGAAATTATAGTACATTCTTAGGATAACGTTTTAGGTTAAGGTACATAGCTTACCATGAAGTTGAATTTCATACACATGTTCATTATGTGGTGAACTTAGATTTTGAGCCTGATTAAATGATTGACTAGACATTGACACATGCTAGTGTTTGCCAGGCATGGTGTCCTGTACTAGGAATTTGTCCTGTACTAAGAACTTTTGATAGTACTCGCTGAGTATGGAGTTTTTGTGAAAGTTTAATATTAGTGAGATTTTTGCATGACATCCTGTCAACTGCTTGTTTATCATGTTTATACATCATGTACATGTTTTAAAATAAATATCTGACACATTGGTGTTTTGTGAACTTGAAAATAAGTTATTTGATAGAATAATAATGTTTTGAGATTATCAAAATAAAAAATATCCCATTTTTACTATTAATAATTAAGTATTAAAAAAAGAAAATTTAGGATATATGTATAACCATATATAAAAATGAGACAGCAACCGAACAACACAAAAATAAGAAAAACAAACAATATAATTTTTTGTATCAATGTTATAATTTCCAACATGTCCAAAGAATTCAAGGTATTTTCTCATTGAAATAAAACACAAGTGGAACTCTTTCAGAACTTCAGAAGCTTAAATATGTTTTGTTTGTTGGCGTTTTGTATAATATATTGCAAATTCTTGTGAAAAATGGAATGTTATTGTAATTGCCTAAAGTTTTAACATTGATCTATATATATATATATATATAACTGGGGAAAATACCCAAATGTTATAAAGAAGAATACATAAATTGATTGTTATATAATATTAAAATAGGAAGATGTGGTATATTGCTAATTTGACAACTCTCCATCAGAGAACAAAGGATGTAGGAGGTTAGCAACTGATGACACTGGACAACCTTCAACAGTCAGGAGCTTAGCTATTTTTATTGAAAATCATATGTTATTGCTACATGTACAATTTTTTATTATCCATAACTTCGGATTTTATTTGTTCTTTTTCAGAAGGATTGAAATTCATCACTTAGAATAAAAGGAGAAAACACAGAAACAAGACCAGAATAAATTCAAAGACAAAAGTCAGATCAGTTATTATTTTCATCACTCAGTCAATGAATTGAAGTTCTATTAAATATCTAAAGTCAAAAGATATTAAAACCACAATAATGACAATGTTCTGTGCTGAATGGCCAAAAAGTGGACTATACATTACGATTACACAATGCTGGATGATAAGAAACTATTAATTTTTTGGGTGGAGGGATATCCTGAAAAAAATAGATTTATGTAAAAAGCTACTAGTATGTTAAGCCTAATAAAAGAGTTTTCGTTGATTTCAAATGGGAAAAAATTGTGTTTCAAAAAAGTATTCTGCAATTCATAAATAAACATATATTGATACTTACATTATCTACTTTGTTGTTTAAAAGTTTAGTTTTGAACAGTTATAGAACAATATAATTGCATTAACATTTCCAAGGAAAAAAAGATATACAACTAAAAAGATTCATCTTAAAACAATTTACTACCAAACAGAATTCATTGTAACATACACATTACTGTATATTTATAATTTGAATCTCATAGGATTTTATTTCATCCCATGGGATATTAAAAATCCCATGGGATAATTATAGTCCCATGGGATTTTTTTTGTCCCATGGGACAACAAATATCCCATGGGACTACAATTATCCCATGGGACCCCAAAAAATCCTATGGGATTTAACCAAAATCCCATGGGATAATGGTCAATCCCATGGGATTTGCCTTATCCCATGGGATATTGAAAATCCCATGTTTTTCTAAATCAAATTACAAAATATATATAATAATAACAGCAGAAAACCAATGAATTTATTGCATCCCATGTAATTCCGCACATTTTGGTTATATACACGACACTGTAGCTGTAAGGAGAGGCGGCGGCGGATTTGCAAATGAGTGTTTTGCAAATTAAAAGTGTCCAGTGTTGACTTTTAAAGCTGACTTATGGGTGTTGCTCATTATTGAAGACCGAACAGAGACCTATATCTGTTAACCTCTATGTCATTTGGTCTCTGGGTAAGAGTTGTCTCATTGGCAATTGCATCACATCTTCTTGTTTTTTCATATTTAATGACCCCTTCTCTGAGTAAACTCATATCAATGTAAAATGACCCTATCTCTGAGTAAAATCTTGGAAGGGGAAAATGACGTTTTCTTTGAGTAATCTCAAGCCAGGGTTTAATTACCCTTTCTCCAAGTAAAATCATTTGAAAGTCCCTTTGGTATCTTCCCGCCACATCAATACAATGCTTCTCGCTCCTTTAGTATTTTCGTATTGTAACTTATTTCAATAATAATAACAACTTGTATTCATCATTTCGTATGGCTAAGTTATATATATAATTATAATTATTAGTCATGTTGCCATCACATTATGAGCGCTTCATTTCTACAAAAATGGTGCTGGTATTTGTAAATTGAAAATACCTTTCAACTGACAAACTGCCCTATGTTCTGAATAACACGCGATATCAATCCATTTTTCAGTCCTTGTATGACCGACGACACAATTTTCTTTTGTGAATCCATTTGGTTCATCTACAAAAATCCATATATTTTTTTTTAAATATACCGTAAAAGTTACTATAAGTGCACCAGTTTAGGAGAAGTGATTTCATAACTGTTTTCTCATAAAAAGAAATGTCTTCCTAATTTTGAGGTTACCTTTCCAAATCAAACGAAATGAATAATATTGTTTTCAAATAATAAACGCATTGTGACGTCATAAGCTAGGTTAGATAGGATATAATGCTCGATTAATTTGTTGTGACGATATTAGCCGGGCAAGATATCGAAATAAGTTTTGATTTTCCATGAGCTTAATTTGATAACCTAATCAGAAACATGGGTTAATATGGCATGTTTACTTCCAGTCATAAAATTATAAAAATCCAAAAACAACGCTTTATAATGATCTTTGTATAGTTTCGATATTTAAAATAATCTTTGTATATTATCGAATATAAAACTTTTTGGAATATCTAATATTGATGAATATATTAAAATTTTGAGATATGTGTAGAAAAAACATTCTGAAATATTTTATTTCATACAACTTAAAAATTGAAAAAAAATTTGTTCTCCCATCAAACAAAGAAGTTTCTTAGTGAGTAATAATATGAATTTTCTAGAACATGTAGAAGATGTTACCTTTCCATCTCTGTAATAAGCTATATAGTTTATTGAATTTAAAAATGAATGTTTAAGAAAGATGAGAAGATACCAATTGACAATAAATAACCATAAGTCGAAGACAAATAACTCAAAATAAGAACGACGAAGATACAAACAGCAGGTCTTAAGAAAACAAATAGAAAACTAAAGCTTGATTAACACGCGACCATCGACAACCTGTGGTTAAGCACATGTGCTTCGAGAGGATAAACATATCTACACCAATAATTGCACCCTTTTTGTCTATCATGCTATCTCGATTTCCGTGTTACGTCGCAATTCAGAAAAACACAATTATGGTGTTGTGGCTATAATAAGTGGTCGTCTCTAACACAGATAGTCCATACCGACAAGCCACATTGAGATTGTCTGTTTGAGCTTTTGTGGTCAACATGAAACTTGGTACACATGTTTATCATTAAGGGAACATATAATATATTTAAGGTTTGGATTCAGGTTTCGCGGTTCATTGAACAAAGGAAATGTGATAGTGCCAATTTGGCATGGTGTCATATGGACACATATTTTTGATGTTACTTGTTCTTAGATTCGATCAGATGATTCAATAAAAAAAAGAGATGTGGTATGATTGCAAATGATACACCTATCCACAAGAGTTCACATAACGTGAATGTAAGTAATTATAGGTCACCCTTTGGCCTTCATCACTTAGCAAAATCTATACCGTATAATCAACAATTAAAGGCCTACATGACAAAATGTGAAATAATTTAAGTCCTTTCTAAGTGTTTTTTGTTGTTAAAAATTTGCGTCGGGAAAGATAATTTACTTGAACTTAATTTACGTATTGGACATATCTGACATATGCATGAAACAATTGTAACGTATTATTGAACTTTGTTTTAATTTAAATTGTCTGCCAGTTGCACTAGAAAATCGCATATAGTACATGCAGTGTGTTGTTTCTGTTAAGACGCTTCTTGAATGATCTCTTTTTAGCAGGTAGCCATCTTAAAGAAATTGGTAAGGGTATGTGCTTGTGTGGCATTTCGTGTATTTATTAATCCTTAATCAATTATAGTTTTAGTAATAATATAAAAACTTACAAGTTTCAGGACTCCAATGGTTATTTGCAGAAATTAGTTTTGTACCATCAGTCCAAAGCCATGTTCCTTCAGATTCAGTATCGGTAAGTCCAATCCAAATTCCATGCCATTTTTTGGTACTGTTAACCCTGTAATTTATAACTAACTTTGCATTGATATAATCAGCAATATTATAGTAAAAGTAAGTAAGTTTTTTATTATTGTGACAGGTGTAAATCAACATAATATAGAAATAAGAAGATGTGGTATCAGTGTCAATGAGACAACTCTCCATCCAAGTCACAATGTGTAAAAAGAAAACCATTATAGGTCAAGTATATATATATATATGTACATACATTAATCTAACATACAAAATACACCAGGTCCATTGGACCAATAAGTCAACTTTTACTTTCGATTCAATATTAATGTTTCAATATCATGTGTTAATTGTCAATTTAAATTCGTGAGAAAGATAATCATAATTGAAGAATGAAAATTTGTAAAAGTCAAAAGTGGTTCTTCTGAAGTATTTGAAAACGTTTGAGAATGTTAACTGGAGTAAACTATTTGTTTTCTACTGAAAAGTGATGCTGCTAAGTATTTAGCTATTTTCCTTGGATTAATCACCATTAGAATTGTTAATCTAGCTGCATATAGTCCGGCAACACTAATATCTCGCTAAACAGTTTATCTGATATTCTTATAAAATGTAGTTTATAAGAAAATGTAGTTCACTATCAACATTCTGTGAACTACAAAATTGACACAGTGTATCCTCTACTGGTTTCCAGATATATCTACCAGTCTCGATTCTGATCGGTAATATCCCGCATCTAAACTGGGCTTGCACAGATTGCTCGTTTTTCGTTTTACATAGTGTTCTAATTCACAGTTTGTTTTAAAGTTTAAGTAGGATCATATCTTTGGCTTATCTATAAACGGCTCTCTTATATATCACAATAATAAGTTCGCACAATTTGTTCAAAAGATTTTAAATCCACCATCGATCTACTTTCGTAATAATGTGACACATTAAGTTCAGTGAAAATATCTTTAGTGTCACTACACCAATTGCTTGTGCAACGTTCGTAATCCATGTTGAACACCACTTTCGTTACTCGATCGTCTTCAAATAGACTATTGCAATGGTGAATGATGTTTACCCAATGCCGAAACTGAATTAGTATCCACCCAGTATCCTCATAAAGTTTCTAAAATGGGTTCAAATCTGTGTACGCCTAAGTAATACCGAATTACTCTGTTACGTACATGATCCATCTAACATTTTGTAAATACCTTCATGGAACCAAGAAGACCTCATCAAATATAGGTGTGAGATTGGAACTAGGTAGACTTCAAGTTGAAAACTTTATTACAACCCAATATGTTTTATATCTTCCCAGACTAAATATTGATCAGTCAAACCCATTATTGAAAGAGGTCTTCGAATTTTCAAAAATCCCTTGATCTACAAAGTGTATATTCTTGGTATACATATGCTAAGAACGTCTTACCAGACAATAACCTTAAAGACAAAGTGGACAACTGTAAGAATAATACAAATGTAATTTAAAAATGAAATAAATGATTATTGTAAAGATTTATATAAAAGTAAAATAGAAAAAGTCGACGAATGTAGCAAACGTTTTCTGTAAAAAAAAAAAAAAAAACCTTCACTTGAAGCAAATTTTTACTTATTGTTTAATGATTTTTCTATCAGAACATTTTTACTTAACTTCGTATAAGTGAACATGGTTTTGAAATAGAAAAATGGTTGTTACATTAAAATTTCTCGAGAACAAAGACTGTACAAAACCTGCAAAGTCATCGAAAATGAACTTCATTTTATTCTAAATTGCAAGGTAAACCAATATATCAGACACGATCTAATTAATGATATACAATTAGATGATGAACATTTCATTCATTTCCCTGATGATCAAAAATTATTTTATATATTAAACCCCGCTTCTTTTAGACATGTTAGAATTATTGGCTTCTTCTTTAAAAGGTCATTATAACTGAGGGCAGTGGTCTCATTGTAACATGACTATTGAATATTGTAATATTGTAAATTTATCACTTATTTTTTCTTGTATACTGTTTTGTTTTTATTTTGTTGTTTTTTGTTTGACTAAATTTCTCTTGCCACAAACATACTGTAAATGTTTAATGACAATAATAAAATTGAAGCTGTTGCTTGGATCTTCCTATTTCCCCATATTCCAGACGCATAGTCTAGAATAGGAGTAGCACATGAATTAAAAGTTTTACTAAAGATTAAAATCCATTGAAGTATATGTTCCATTTGTACACTGGTATCGAAATAGAGAGCGGAAAACATGGGGTTTAGTTGCATATATTTCTTCAGTACCTGTTAATTTCTTTTTAAGACACGGAAAACCGTTGGTTACTACAAAATGTGACATGTTTGGCTATTAAACACAGTCCATTAAACATGTTTCTGTGCTAATATGAAAATAAGAAGATGTGGTATGATTGCAAAAAAGACAACTCTCCACCAGATATCAAATGAAGTAGACGTTAACAATTATAGTTCATCGTAAGGCCTTCAACATTGAGCAAAACTCATACTGCATAGAAAGTTATAACTGTCCCCAAAATCGTAAATGTAAAACAATTCAAATGAGAAAACTAACGGTGTGATTTATGTGCAAAACAATAAACGAAAAACGAATATGACTTACAGCAACAGATAACAACCACTGAATTACAGGCTCCTGACTTTGGACCGGCTCATACATAATTTGGCGGGTTTAAACATGTTTGCTGGTGCCAAACACTTCCCCTTACCTGGGACAGCTTTGTTGTAAAGGGCATTATTATTTAGATCGATAGAAAGCACAAAAGACACAAAATACAGATCTGAAAGTACTTGCAGTTACTGAAAGCCAATATCAACAAATAAAAAAAAATCATGTATCTAAGACTAAAATATTTATCAGTACATATCCAACATTCAATGGAGTTTGTGTAAAGACGTCATTAACAGTCATTAACATGTTTAGATACTATTTCCAGCATCTGAAGCTAAAAGTTTACTTTTGACTTTTCCCTAAACATGTTTATAATTACAACACGTTAAATAGACCCGACCACATGTCACGGCTTGATACATATATTTCACAGGACGGGTATTTAGCGGGAAGAAGAATTTCTAAAGGAACGTAGAGGTCAAAACTGAATAATTAAGCAAAAACTAAATAAAGTTAGGTGTTCATGCTAATCTATTGTTCTTCGTTAATGTTTTGCAAATTTATAACTATATGTTAAAAGAAGAGATACGAGATATTCAACTGTCACTCTTTAAACTAAGAGCAAATGTTCAATGTCAGGAATCATATGTGTTTGAAACATGTGTATTGCATAGTTATGAATGAACAGTCTTAGCAGTTAAGCCATTTCAATAGATATTTTATTGTGTGTCTTTTTATATTGTAATGTTATACATAGTCATATATAGTCATTTTTTTTTAAATTTACTGTTTGCAAAATTGTGAATTATTCTAAATACTAAGGATTTTCGTATCCCAGGCATATAACTTTAGCCGTATTTGGCACAACTTTTTGGAAATTTTGGTCCTCAATGCTCTTCAACTTTGTACTTGTTTTGGCTTTCGAACTTTTTTTATCTGAGCGTCACTGAGGGGTCTTATGTAGACGAAACGCGCGTCTGGCGTATTAAATTATAAGCCTGGTACCTTTTGATAGCTATTATTTGTGTGTGTCTCTGTCCTGTATGTTCTCCCATTTATTTGTATTGTAGTCCTGTCATGTAATCTTGTCCTTTTAATGTTATATTTAACATTGCTATAAAAGCGGGAGGTTTGGCTAGCCACAAAACAAGGTTCAACCCCCCATTTTTTCTTAAAATGTCCTGTACCAAGTCAGGAAAATGGCCATTGCTATATAATAGTTCGTTTCTGTATGTGTTGCATTTTAGTGTTGAGTTTCTGTTGTGTCGTTGTTCTCCTCTTATATTTGATGTGTTTCCCTCAGTTTTAGTTTGTAACCCGGATTTGTTTTTTTCTCAATCGATTTATGAATTTCGAATAGCGGTATGCTAATTTTGCCTTTATATACCACTGTTTCAGGCTAGGGGGAATGTTGGCACCTGTTAAAACGTTTAAACCCACTGCATTTGTATACACCTGTCCTAAGTCAGGAGCCTGTTGTTCAGTGGTTGTCGTTTGTTGGTGTGGTTCAAAGGTGGTTTTCGTTTCTCGTTATTTATATAGAATAGACCGACGGTTTTCCTTTTTGAATTGTTTTACACTAGTCTTTTTGGTGCCCTTTCTAGCTTGCTGTTCTATGTGAGCTAAGGCTCCCAGTTGAAGGCCGTACTTTTACCTAAAATTGTTTACTTTGTACTCATTGTGGCTTGGATGGATAGTTGTATCATTGGCACTCATACCACATCTTCTTGTTTATATTAGATCGCACATGGTCAAATAATCAACAAAACAGCTAACTAGGTTTAGGGCAGTGGTTTTTTTTTAGGTAAGTGGATTTCCAATGCATCTATCTGCCGTTATGTAGGTACATATTGATAGATAAAAGGAGATATTCTCTTTGACATATTCTCCATTTCATTCTCAATTTTGGAATATAAAATATGCATTTGAACAATGCTCAATTATTTTTAAGATTTAACATAACAATTTTAAAACAGGCAGATAGGTACATATTTTTTAAAACCAAATTCAAGTCTATATTCCAAAACACACAACAACAGATGTGCACTAATAAACAACTTGAACGAGTTCCAACTATGGTTAAAACAAATCAAGTGCAGCAGTATTCCTTAAAACCAGTATCACCTTGAGGAGCAGAAAGTCAATGTTACCAAATTATATTTGATCATTCTTAAATTGTCCTTTTATAAAATTGATCAATAATAAAGAACCTAAGGTTTCCACTCCCTCAGGCAAAGTTGACCTTAGATAGATTTAGTTATATATTCGAGTCCTTTTTGGTAATATAGCCCTTCAACTGTTTCGGTCTTATACATCATTGGCTTTCAAATATTCGGCTTTAAACCTTCCTGATGAAGGTAAATCCAGAAAAGCGCTTCGGACGCATAAAGTTATCAAAGTGATGTATTAACTTGTTTGATCATTGTAATAAGGCACATCTGATATTGATTTGTGAGATACATCCTTTACAGAGACCACATTTAAAGGGATTGCTTGCAACAGAGAGGCAGAAGATATCAAAGGTGTAATCAAATTATACGTCGAAGACACTCTGACAACGCCATAGCGAAAAACTACCAAAAGACAAAAAAGAATCTACAAAACATAACATAAAAACTAAAGACTGAGCAACACGAAACAAACCAAAATTCGGCGAGTGTTTGGGTGCTCTGGAAGGGTAATCATAACCTGCCCCACATCCCACATATGGCACTCGTCGTGTTGCTCTTATAAGTACAAATTTGGTTATAAGTATAATTCGCTTGTGTCATATTCAAGGAAAAGAGGAGGTGATTTTGGTTATGACAATTGCAACATATTCGTCGTCATCTGCGAAACAGATATTTCATAATATTCGACCAAATTGTGATGACTTCCTTAACACTTCCAAAAGAATGACTACAACTTCAATACTTGGAAACCTTGGTTTAATAGCTTCTTTGTAAGAAGGAACCTTCTATAAATGAAATCATTATAGGTAATGCCATCTAGAGAATATAGTATAAACTGGAAGATATATACTGAATGTACATGCAGGCGCTGATGGAATGCAGCTACACAGAAATGAAAAGTTCGCAATTGGGAAGCTGACATCGTCTCTTTCATCGTAAAGTTGTGTTATCAATCGAACCTTATTGTTAATTTCAAGATGTATAAATATCAATATATAAAGTAGATTTAACTGTATCTGGTGTATCCTTCATTTTAATTTCGATGGGTTAAATCTGTTCAATTCGTCAAAATGATTGTCCTTGCTATGAACATTTTCAATGAACCGAACTGATCAATTTTGTTTTTTATATTTCCTTTACTCTTTTAGAATAAACGTTTTCTTTCATATATATATATAAATCGTTACAATTTGTTATTGAAGCTAGGATAAGAATAAAGATATTTAATATGTCTTCAATATCAATCAAGACGGCAGAAATAAAACTGTTAAAATAGAATTTGTAGTCGATATTTAACAATTTACATACCGTAATTTATACATTGGACCATACTAGTTATTGGAACTTTGGATACAAACCAGGAATTTCATATCAGAGAAACAGGCAATATACATGATGTATGCCCTCATGTTTAGAATTCATTTGCACATTTTTGTATTTTTCAAAATTATCAGACAATATGTGTTCTACTAGGATCACCAGTCCATCATCTTTCATTTGATACCTTAATTACCAAAATATTTTCTACATAGTTTGATATTTACACCTATGCGTAGGAACTATTTTGTTTTAAACATGCATTACTTTCCAGTATGTTCTTTTTTAACCGGGCCCGATTAGGTGGTGTTATATCTTACAAAGTCTATCCGAAAAATTTTTGCAAAGAATTCCGCTCAAGCCGTTGCAAAGAGGCCGTCTTAAATTTGCAGTGAGGTGAGAGTCTTTTTTTGGCACCGTGTTGAAGGCCTCACTGTAAAGTTGAGATAAAGAAAGAGCATCTACTGATTTTGTGTTATGGATGGATACCCCATATCCTTTGTGTTTCTATAACAAAAAAGAAAACTCCATATTCTGATATATGTGGCGAAAACAAAGAGGATATAAGTACTAAGATAACTTTGGATAGGGCTTCCTTTTGAAAATAAAATTGAATTTCTATTTAATGAAAAACAATATTTCTGTTAATATGACCCAATTACTTACTGTCGAAGCAGTGTTTTCATCGCATTGTTCTCTTCGGCCGTTTTCGGCATAATGACTTCAGCATTCTGATTATTACAGTATTCTTTTGCATTCCAAAAAGTTAATGACTGGTGAGACATTTTATAACATTTCAATCCAAGAGAATTCCAACCTGCAGGACAGGTCAGAGTACCTAGAAAAACAAGAACATATCTTAAAGTCAATGCACTGTTATTATATTGTTTTTTTTTCCTATATTTGTTATAAACTTTAGTAAAATTATAGGACGTTATATAAAATGCCACCTACTGTGACATTGAAACTAAGGTCATGGTCAAAAGTCTTGGTTGCATTCTAGATTTAAAAACGACTACTGCGTACATTTGGTTTGAAACTAATTTGCAACGGGGTATACCAGTAATATGGTGTTATTTTTAGTCTTAGATGCATGACTTTTTTATGAGTTGTTATTTGATTTGAACTAGTGTCAGTATCTGCGAGTACTCTCAGATCTGTACTTAGTGTCTGTTTGTTGTGGGGATATATTAGTACCAATCCACGTCCACTCTGTGTTTTTGTTAGACGTATTTCTATTTGTATCTATCTGATGAGTTAAGCCTTTTTCAACTGATTTTTATAGTTTGTTCTTATGTTGTACAGTACTGTTACACCACTGTCCAAGGTTAGGGAGAGGTTTGGCGCCTTTAAACTAGTTTAACCCCGCCACATTCTGAATGTGCCTGTCCGAAGTCAGGAACCTGTTATTCAGTGGTTGTCGTGTGTTGCAGTGTAAACTATTTGTTTTTTGTTCATTATTTTGTACATAAATTAGGCCATTGGTTTTTCTTTTTTGAATTGTTTTACATTTGTCATTTCGGGGCCTTTTATAGCTGACTATGCGGTATGGGCTTTGCTCATTGTTGAAGGCCGTATGATGACCTATAGTTGTTAATTTCTGTTTCATTTGGGTCTCTTGTGGAGAGTTGTCGCATTAGAAATCATACCACATCTTCTTTTTTATATTTATACTTTATAAAGACCCTGGTTTAAAAGATCCGGGGTTTTGTTTACTACATAACTTATATAGACTTGGAATGATTTGAAGCTTGCGATATTGTGTATAGAGACCTGTCTATTGTTAAAGACTGCAGTTCTGATCACTCTAGATGTCGATTTCGGTTATGTTTGTCTTGCGCATCCTGTCTCGTCAAAAAATCAACCACACAAATCCTACCAACTGCTGTGATAAAATGAGATGCTACGGGGAGGTGAGCAGTTCGTATTACCGTAGCTGCAGCTATCATGTATCATGTAAAGTACAAAAACAGTGGCGAGTCACATTTGGTGATGTCAAAATTGGGAAAAAGAGGATATGATTATGATTAAAATAAGTGAAGCATATCTGCTGTCATCTGTGACAAAGATGCCCTATAAGTTTCCTCAACCAAATCCGTAGCAAATTTGAAGGGATAACTTCAAATTTACCTTTTGTATCCCATAATTCAATAGTTTTGATTCGTTGTAACCTAATCAGAGTTTATAATCCTTTAGAAACCCATTACTATAGATATGTTTACAACTATCGAATACCACTACTCTTTTAAGTGATGTACAATAAGGATTGTACGCTTGGTTGTTTAAAAGTCGGAGTGATTTATATATGTACATATAACTTATACCCTTCTGGAACCTTCTTAAGTAGGATATAGGATCAATAATTTCCGGTTTGTTAAAGATTCATTGGGATCTAAAACGTTTGTGAAATGGTTTATTTGGACAATTAATGAAAGATCTTGATCACACTTTTCTCAAACTGAGAGAATTTATGACATGTCTGCTGAACAATTGATTCATAAAACAAATTTATTGAAATAAGTACAGGCAAAAACGCACAATGACGCAAGTGATTTAGAAATAAAGCTCTTTTCAGGAGTTCAAAATAGCACACAATTAAAATTGCAACCCTTAAAATACTATATATGCTTTTCCTCTTCTTCATTTTTTTCACCCGATTATAATTTATATGCAGAGCAATATTTTGAAGGGATGAAAATACAAAGCAAAACAACAATTTTCAACATAATAGGCTAAAAACGGGCAAGCTTTTTAGAAAAGCAATAACTTGTATTACCACTAGTACTAAATGACAAATTCTGGGTCGAATCCGATACCGTTCCAATAGTATATATCACATGTAGTTTCCGGTAGTTACCTGTTACCTTCTGGAAATTCCTCCTCTACCAGGAGAAACTGGAATTCTTCCGGTAGTTGTTTTATATCTATTTTACACTATAGTACACTATTAAACATGTCTGTTTTCTTCCACATCAATATCACTATTAATTTTGGTGAATTAGTTAAAAAATTTAATTTAGTTTATAGTAAGTTTACTGTAATAAGAAAACTAGAACGGGTTCAAACAGATTTTGAAACCATAGACAAATGTGCACCTTACAATCATCATAACAATGATGACAATACGAATACTAAAAACGAGGCTAAAAATAAGGCATAGGTACCTTAATTCAGCCATGAACCCACCATGTTGCGGGTGTGTTCTAGTAGCTTTTTTAGATTATTCGTACTCATTAATTGTTTATATTTATACATAGAAGGTTTTCGCCAATAATAAGGTTTAATAAAATAAGATCTCAGACCTTGATAAGTAGGAAATTTTTAAATGAAATATATCTCATCCGCAATGTCAGCCTTACACAAATTACAGAATCTATTACTTCTAGAAATTGCAATGTAATGTCCACATCCAAAGCTAAAATAAGTTCTGTTTTGGTAAAACATGTCTTTTTAATAACTGCTATTGGTTTACAAAAGTAACATTTTGAACCATATATTTATAATTTATAACTAAATTACTCAGTTCGCTGTCAAAACCTTGTTTCAGACAATCAAACAGGCGCTGTTTAATTATCAAGTAATCTATAAAACACTAGAGAACTTACTATCTATAAAATAACCTTTATTTATCCAAATATCACCTAAACCTATACTAAGCAGCTCATTTTCAATAAAAATACAACCAATTCGTCTTATTATTTAGACATTTTTGTAAATCGTCATAAAAACAAGGGTTTCTTATCGTCGAGTTGTGAGTTGAAAAGGCCGCGTTGTGAGTTAAGAAAGTCGAGTTGCGAGTTAAGAAAGTCGAGTTGCGAGTGACGAAAGTCGAGTTGCGAGTTACTAACGTCGATTTGCGGGTTGCGAAGGTCGACTTGCGAGTTATTAAAGTCGAGGTGCGAGTAACGAAAGTCGAGTTGCGCCTTACGAAAGTCGAGTTGCGAGTTACGAAGGTCGAGTTGCGAGTTACGAAGGTCGAGTTGCGAGTTACAAAAATATTATGTTTCTCTAATTTCTTAAGAATTATATATATAAACGGTCGTATATGTAGACGGTCGTGTCTTCTGATTTTTAAAAAATTTACAAGACCAACAAAGGTTAGAGGTTTCTGACTTAGGACAGACGCAAAAATGCGACGGGGTAAAACAAGTTTTATGAGCGCTCAACCTTTCCCCTACACCTCAATCCAATGTAGACATATATGAATTAAACGTCCACAATTTTGAGTGTCACTGCCAAAGAATACATAATACAACTCGACTTTCGTAACTCGCAACTCGGCTTTTGTAACTCGCAACTCCACTTTTGTAACTCGCAACTCGACGTTTAACTCGCAACTCCACTTTCCTTACTCGCAACTCGACTTTCGTAACTCGCAACTCGACTTTCGTAGCTCTTGTAACTCGCAACTTGATACTCGACAACAAGTGAATCTCTATAAAAACAGTGACAGTTTTTCAAATTACAGTTTGTGGTACATATCAGCTTAAACCCGTATTTAAAAATTCTACATTTTCTGTTGTGCAATAATGGCAATCTACCTAGCTCAATATACACTATTACATTACTAGTTGTGCTTTTTTTCTTTTATAATATGTTTACAATAGCCCAAATGTATCCTCTCTATAGCTGTTGTTTTAAAATCACCTCGTATTTTGCAGCCATAACAAAGTACATTAAGAGTATAAGTATCAAAAAGTAAAAGTTAAGTTGCAAAATTAAAAAAATATCTTTTTTATTTCTCCTTCAGGCAAAAACTGCTTTTTCTGCCCTGTTTTGGGAGTTTCCGCTGTAACAGATTATACTTGCAATTAAAATTTATCTACAACTTCTATTTCCTATTTTTTCTAATATCATTTTTCATGTTCATGTATTTTCCACCCTTTCTGAAAACATCAATTTTCTAAAAAAAATAACAGTATGGTCAGCGTCCATTGGTAAAAATAAATTCAGTTCCTTTACCTCATAAGGAATAGAGTCACTATTTATAAAACCATTTCACAGTCGTTGAAATACATTGAAAAGATATGGGGAATAATACATCACCTTGCATTAAACCTACATTATTAGTAAAATAATCAATATTATACCCATCAACACCTACACAAGTACTGACATTATGATACATTGCTTTGATAACCAGTAAAAAATTACCGTTGAATACCAAAATTTTATAGTTAATACCATAACATATATCTTTGAACAATGTCAAAAGCTTTCGTGTAGTCTACAAAACAACAATAAAAACGAAGGATGTTAGAGCAAACATAATATCTACTGTTCCAAGACATGCACATTTATTTGTAATTTTGATATCATTTTCTATATTTAATGAAAACCAAATAACGATCAGAAAGCAAACGTTAAAGTTCAAAATGATGAAAAATAAATGTATGTTATTTGATACAGTAAAAAGGGATCATTAATATGATAAATCACAACAGAAAGGAGAAAAAAATAATTCAATCAATTTACTTACTTGGCTGTGAATCTATTACATAATGGTACATAAAAATAACCAAGAGTCTCATCAACGATGACATCTAACAAGTATACAAACACAACACATGGAACTCATCTAGTCACTGTATTACAAACCGATTTGAAACTGAATCGGATATTGGAAAATATATAACTATTGCAATTTAATTTCAAAATTCAATAAAAATCTGTTGTCTTCAAATTCGAATTTTTTAACTGGCTAACACATCAATTTGAGCTTTTATTACATAAACAGTGCTGTAGAAATAAATGTCTGAACATATATTATTCATTGTTGACACACTGAAGTGTTCAGTATTACGTGGTATTTCAATTTAATCCTGTGTTCGAACAGTT